CGTGTTTTTTTAGGTTTTTAGGTCTATGCTGATATAAATTGTCTTAGGGGTTCTTTTGGATGGCCTTTGTGAGGATATAGTTTTGCTATACACACGATCTCAATATTATTGGTTTAAAGGCAATCAAGAATCTCTTTTTTTCAGTCACATGACTATTTGGATTTTTTGGGATGACCTTTTATTGTTGTATGGTGTTGTGAGACATACAAGCACAATTTTCATGGTTTAAAGGAATCCAAGATCCCCTTTTTCTCCGGTCATACGATAATTGTGGATTTTTTGGATGGTCTTTGTGGTACTTGATTTTATATGATTTGAAAGAAGCCCAAAACCCTTTTTAAAGATCTACTTTCTTCTTGTAGTGAGATTATTCATTAGTTTATGCTTTGTGCTCTAAGACCTCCCAAATTCATAAAATTTTAATTATGTATTTATATTATTCTTTTTTTATTAATGTTGTCTCTAAGGGTCTGTGCTTTGTGACTTTAAATTTTTAGAAAAGAAGATCTCGAGGTCTTTTAGTTCCTTCAGTGTCTTGTACGAGTACTGTGGACTACGCTGTTGTCAGCATAGTTCACGATAAAAGCATAGCTATGAGAGACAATTTTACAGGTATCCAAGGAACATATCAGAGAATTGTAACTTATTCAGGTGGGCGAATCAGTTTGATGATTCACCTCCAATAGTGATCAGGAGTGGAGAGTCTTGTTGAAGCATAAATTATCTCAAAAAATTGATTGCATGCCTTTGAAATTTAGTACGTTGATAATATTAATTATCATTTTAATTGTTTTATTTTTAATTTGATCATGTTGTTACTCACTATTTAGTAAGCTATCTGCACTAATTATGTAATATTCAAATTAGATTTCTATTTTATAGTGTGAAATATGCAACTGGAACTGATTATTTATAAACAACACAATAATACATGTGCAAAAAGATCTTTTAATCATACATAGCTGCAACACAACTGCTGCAAATATGTACAAAACAAGCAGACACACAACTTCCTTGTAGCATCTTCCTAGTACAACTGTTGCGATATAGCTTTTTAACAAGCTATAACTGGCCCAAATAGACCGTAAACGACTTCAATAGTGAAGTTTGAACTCTTTTAACCTAATTTTATGCATTTCCAAAAATCTTTAGCACATTAAATTTTAATGAAGCCCATCAATAAAGTTTACTTAAATTTAAACTTTTAAAAATATTTAAGAACAATTAGTCAACCCACCAAATTAAAATTCAATAAAAACATGAAAGACTTGAGGGAATTATATATATAACCCTAGACATGGATATAGATATGGTCTTTTTATCGTAAAGAACTATAAACAAACAACTTTCCCGAAGCGCCTTCCTAGCACAGCTGCTACGCAGTAGCTTTTTAACGAGCTGCAACAGCCCCGAACAGACCTAAATGACTTCAATAACCTAATTTGAGCTCTTTCCAACATTACCTCCTATAAGTAATATTAACTATACCAATTTTTCTCATTAAAAAAATATTCATCTCTTAGCAAAAAAATAACAATAAAATCACAAACAAATAAGAAAATTAGAGAAATTTATTCTAGCTTATACCTAGATTAATGGCCTAACAACCCAATATAGTATTTAAAGGCTATGTAGTTAGTCTATAGTGAGTCTTTAAAGTTTTTATTTTAGTTTATATATAATTTAAAACTTACCCATCGCGTGGTTTTAACTTAAATTGTTTGCAGCTTAGAAATTCATTTTAAATTGAATTAATTCATTTACTTATTCACAATTTTGAAGAGCATTCAGAGCTAGTAGGGTTCACCTGGGGTAGGCCCTATTACTAGTTTTAGCAACTTAGAACCATTACTAATGAAGTGAAGTAGCATCGTATAATATATAAGCAGTGATTTCAATGCATATTGTTGTTTAGTATTCATTTTTTTTTCGATATATCTATATTTTGTACATGTATTTAATGAACGTTTTTATTTTCAAGTTTCACTGGCTTCAAACTCCTTTGGAATTAATCCTAATGGTTGAAAAAGACCTTAAAACCCATTCATAAGAATTTAACATTATATTTTAATTTTTTAATATATTATTATTTTGAAGAAGTGGAGATTTTAAGGATATTGTCGTAGCTCCATTCTTAGTTCTGCAACACTATGTTGGAGATTTCATTAGTAGGGTTCTGGTGAGCAAAGCACCACAATGACACACCAGAGCATTGCAGAGCCATTATCAAGCATCACAACGCTAGTTACCAGAGTGCCACAACATAAAATTGAAGTGGGCATGGAACCAAAAGATAAAGAGTTTAGTGCTTCCACAGTAATCTTGGAACACCACAATGCTACACTTGGAGCATCATAACGTGAAAGGCTCAACCAAAATAGTTAAGTCACCTTTAAATTCAAAATTCATGAGAGGGGGAATTCATTATAATGTGAAGACAAAGCTCTCAACCACTAGTCCAAGATGTCTTACATATATAATGGAGGATACTTTGAGAACTTATTATAATGACGACTTGATAGAAAATATTTTGAAAGGTTGTCACATTAAAGTTGAGAAACCTTCAAATTTTCTCTGAGAACAATTTCTTAAAAAAAAGAAAAAAAAGACAAAATCACTGCCAATTAACACACACACACACACACACACACACACACACACACACACACACACACACACACACACATTATCTTTGAAATCATGAATAATTTTGTTTTTTTTGAATTTTTCAATGAGATTCTCACTCTACTTATATTTCACATGAGCTAGTGAAATTCATATATTCAGAAATCCTACATAGAAAATTATGATATTATAAAAAAAAATGAATTAAATTGTTTAGTTATTTTGGGAAATTTATATACATACCACACAATACTTACATATCTGTATATCTAATAGTTAAAAGTTTGATATTTACAATTTTAATGCTTTAATGTCATAAAACCATGCATTAAAAAGTATATTTGACTTTTGAAAATTAGTAATAGTGATAGTTAGTGTCATGCATGTAAATATATAAATTTATGTGTACATAATGATCATGTGATATGTCTCCCTTTCTAAATTTTAGATGATGTGAAACGATTTATATCACATTATTTAAAAGAGAAGAGATAACTGTACCATAAGTATTAAATAGATGGACGCGTTCAATTGATTCGACTGTGAACTAGGCATATGGCCGGTATGGGTAATCTTACTAAATATTTTCGTATTGAACCAATGAAAATTGCTGCGAGCCGTCAACCAAAGAAAATTTATTACATCAGTACTACACACGTAGAAGTAACGTGCGTAGCCAATGAAATCACGCCACGACATCCCACACGACAGGGAAAAAAACGGCGCAGTAACACGGAGAATATTCCCCCCTGTGTTATATTGCGTGTTATTCATAGTTATTCATATGTTATTGCGTGTTATTGATGTGTTATTATGTTATTATAACATCAAACATATTCTCAAGACACAATAACACATGAATAACACAAAATAACACATGAATAACAAGGGGTATATTCCCGATAGAGAAAAAACAGCGCAGTAACACGGGAGAATATTCTCCCCCGTGTTATTTATGTGTTATTCATGTGTTATTGTGTTATTATAACACAAGGAATATTCCCATACAGCACAAAGAAAATAAAATGACAAGATCTGGGGGGGGGGGGGGGGGGATATTCCCCGTGTTACTGCGCCGTTTTTTTTCGCTGTCTCGCGGGGTGTCGTGACGTGATTTCATTGGCCACACACGTTACTCTACGTGCGTAGTACTGATGTAATATTTTTTCGTCAGCCAAACTGGTGAATTGTTGAATCAATCCAAGTTGTATTGAACCGGCTAGTCAAAAACACTTATTTAACTATAATTGATTCTTAATAACATTATAAAATTTTTTGTATAAGAATTAATACAAAAATCATATTAAGTAAAACATATAACTACAAATTTAAAAATCTTAAATATAATAATTAATATAAATTTAATTAAACTAATTCATTATAAATAAGGTTATGCTAAGTTTCTTTCGTGATGTGACACTACAAAAATGTTCAGTGCCGAAAGATGATTTGTGTTGCAAAGATGAATGATTAAGTGTGGCTTTAAGAATATTAAATGGACTACATGATATAAAAAAAATTATAATTAAACTTTAATTTTAAAAAAAATTAATGTATATTTTAATTTTTATTAGTTATAATGATTTATATTAGCAGTGTAATTTATATTATTACTATAAATTATATTTATATTTATATATTTATAGAATTGTTTCTTTTTTTAGTTTTAAAAAATATTAAATATATATAAATATATATATTTATCTATTTATAATGCAATTGTAGTTAGAACTTGATGATTTTATATCAAAATTTAAATTTATAATTATTGAAAATATCATTTATATTAAAATTTCATATATTTTTGTCACATATTCATTACATGTTTAGATCATATTAAGGGTCTGTTTGGGACAGCTGTAGCTTATTGAATGATCTGTTGATAAATTTATTAAAAATAATCTGTCGAAAAGCTAGGTGAGGTGGCTATTACAAATTTTTATTTTTTTGGAAAAGTCAGATCGCAACCAACAAGTTGCCACCACACAACGCTGTTTTCAACGTTTTGATAACGTATAAACTGTTAAAATGCAGCTTACACAAACAAACAAGATACATTTTTAAAACGCCACCGCACCAAATAAGCTGCCTCAAACGGGCCCTAAAATAACTTTAAATTTATTTTGATAAAATTATTTATTAAAATTACTTTGATAATATTTCTGCAGATTAAATTGAAAGTAACTCCTTCCAGTTCCTATAGCTCTCTATTGGCAGAATTTATAGATCAATTTATTAAATCCAACAAACATATATATATATATATATATATAGATTTCATAAATTTAAAAAATTTAAGATTTAAAGCTCGAATTTTACGTCTATTTTTGTTAAATAAATTCGAATTTACTAAACCCTACTAATGCTAGCGCTAATTCCTTCCTGCTGGCAAGCAGCCCCTTTTCCTTCGATGCTAGACGCCATTGTTGTATCCGGCCCTCGAAGGAAGCTGCCTCGGTTCTCTTCTGGTTGACATTGATGATGTCACTGGAGCTTGAAATTTCGAGGCTTGCTATTTCCGCCGGGAAGATATAGGGCTGATTCTGCTAATCTTTATGGGAACGGCAATTGATGGGAACTTAAACCTCTCGGGGTGGAGCAAGGTCTCTTCACCGGACCTGGGATTGGCTTCGCCTAAAAAGCGGATGCGCCAGAGCTGGATCTTGCAGAACGGAGTGATTCCTCGATCTTTGATATATGGATCGGTGCTCTTCGCTCTGGGACTCATCTCGCTTTTCACTGGCAACGTTGTATCCGAAATTGAGTGGTCCAAGTTCCGGAGGTATAGACGGGTAGGTTTTACATACGGCACAATCATACAAGCTTTACTGTTCGTTAAGCTTGCGTTTTCTTCTATTTTAAACGTTTTCGCATTCATCTTTGCCTTTATGGCAACAGCTTGATGGCACTAACTTTTCTCAATTAACATTGCTGGATCAAAATCTGTTCATGGATAAAACCTCAACTCTGCTTACAAGATTTATGAGATTGAAGCGAAGACTAGAACGGGAGAGGAAGTCTAAAAAGAAGTTCTTAGAATTTTATTCTAAGAGCTCAAATCTAAGAATTTTGGATGTCATTATATGCTTCCTTTGACTATTTATTTATACAATTTTAGATGCTGCATGAAAAGGCATACAAGAATAATAAATAAAGTGATTTTTGATTAAACTATTGGACACATGTGGACATAATAATACCCTTGGGTAGCTGTCTGGTGGGGTGCTTAAGAGATTTCTGCTGCTAAAATAGGTGAGATCATTGAGGGGATAAGCGAGTTTGCCTGGTTGAACAGACAAGGTGATTAGGGCTTCGTATGTAATTTTGGCCAAGTTCCTTCTTTCATTTGGGTGAATTACTTCTGGGTTAGGAGAAACGTGTCTGAGTTAGGCGAATCTTACTGAGCTTGACTATTCCTTTTGAGATGGGTGGGTGCCTTTAAGTTTGGCGGGTCTTTCTTGGACTAAGCTTGTGGTTCTTGTTCTGACATGTTCTTTATTGTCATCTAAAAATAGTCATTTTACTTATACATTTAATTTTTCGATTTTCTTTTGCATTTCTGGAGAATCACTTAAAAACAGATTAAGAGTTTGAAGTGAGATATAGGCATTCAATGGAAATGTCTGAGTTGTTTGATCAAGTGCATTGGTTCATTTACAACCCTGTGTATGTTTTATTTCATGCTGGCTAGTCTTTGTGTGCTTAGAGTAAGATGCGCTTGCTTTTATTTTTATTATTTTATCCTTTTGTTTTTATTTATTTTGGTTGCCCTTGATATTCTTGGAGTATGAATCAAGTTATGAAGACTGCAATAATGAGGCAAGTTTTGACTGATATTAAGTATTTACGACAGATGGATGTTTTCCTTGGAAATTGTAATTTTTACCTTTATAAGTATCCCTATTCTCTGTAAGCCCTTTATGCTTTTCGTTTTCTTCTCGCAACTATCTCTTTACTTTCACCTATTAGCATCTCATGGCAACTTCCTTGATGAGATATGCTTTAGTCATTTTAGAAAGGTGAGTACACCGAGGGCTCGACTGCTACCGTGTTACTAGCTAGTAGTGCACCAAATCTATTGTTATAATGATAAGCATTTAATCGTGTAGCCTCAAAAAGTGGGTTCGTTTCCCAACTCTTTCAATAATTACGAGTTATATTTAGACCAATTTTGATTCAACCTATAATTTACACTATGCCTCGTGATTGTTGAAGTTGTGAGTTATTATGAGCTCATCTCTGCTTAGATTATGCCCAACTTGTTATGATTTGGGTTGGTTTGGATTCCATGGAGTGTTACTGTTTTCCGCCAGTTTTTTATCAAAAAAATATCCGTGGATGAGTGCACTTAGTTTTCTTAAGTCCACTTCCAAATGATTGGGTTGGAGAATATGGTGAGAGATTGGAAGGGGAAATGCATGTTGATTAGGCTGGCAGGATGGACCGTGTAGACAAGGCCTATCCTATTTTAAAGGACAAGGCAGATGTTTCTGCTTTAGGCGTTGTCGATTATGCCAGTTTTTGTTAGGTGTGGAGTCTTATTGAAGCACCCATGAGCAGCAAATAGGTTGACTTTCTCACTGACAGTGCTTCTGGTGCCTTGGCGCCGGGCTATGGACGCTCAAGCGCCAATTGGGCATTCCCAGACTGAGCAGGTGGAAATCTTGTGCCCATTATGGGTGCTTTGACGCCCACTTTTGGCGCTGGGGCGCCGGCTACCCGAGAGCTTGGCGTCTAGGCGCGAGCTACTTGAGAGCTCAGCGCCCAGGCGCCAAGTATGGGCGCCCAAAACAATTAGTGATGAGATTACAATTTTTAATTCTGATTTCAATCTTTTTTGTTGAGTTTTGGTGTTTCTTTATCCTGTATTATTTGACAAGCATCCCGGTGAAGGTGATGAGTGTTGAATAGATAAATTTCGGTGATTCCACATAATTGTTCCGTCAGATTTAAGATAGAAGATTGTTGGTGCAAGTTCTATTAGTTTCTTCGTGAGTTTGAAGAAGAAGCTTGCGAGTCATTTATAAAGCTCCCTGAATTACATAATTGAATTTTTAGTGGTGTGGCTTCGTGGTTTTTTCCCGTTCTCAATTTTTTCGACGTCAAATTTAGGTGGAGAACTTCAATGGGACGAGCTTCACATTTTAGAAGATGCAGGTGGAGGATTTTCTTTATAAAAAAAAATTTACTTGCCACTACGAGAAATCACAAAGAAACCTGAATCTATGCATATGGAGGAATGAGAAGTGTTGGATCGAACGATATTAGGTTTCATCCTGTTTACACTGGAGTTGATGTGTCAGTGGTGAAATCAAATAAATTGGAGTTAGTGCATACTGACGCATGAGACCTTACGCCGGTTCAGTCCATTGGAGGTTCTCGCTATTTTGTCACATTTATTGATGATTACATGAGAAATATATGAGTTTATTTCTTAAAGCTAAAATCTGATATATTTGAAGTCTTTAAGAAATGAAAGATTGTGGCAGAAAATGAGACAGACTTCAAGCTGAAGTGTTTCAAAACAGATAATAGGTTAGTAACGTGATTAGAAGTTCAAAAATTTCTGTGCTGCAAAGGGGGTCAGACATGAGTTCACTGTCCCAAAGACAGTGCAATATAATGGTGTAGCTGAGTGCATGAACAAAACAATCACGGAGTGTGCTAGGAGCATGAGACTACATGTAGACTTACAAAAATAGTTTTGGGTTGAAGCAGTAAACACTGCAGTTTATCTGATCAACGGTAGTCCATTACTACCTTTGGAGAAAGGCTTACCTGAAGAAGTCTGGAGTGAAAAAAAAAATGTACGTCTATCTCATTTAAGAGTATTTGAGTGTTCTGCATACGTACATGTTGATGCAGGGTCCAGGAGCATGCTTGAGTCAAAATCAATCAAGTGCATTTTCATTGGATATGACTCATATGAGTATGAGTACAAGTTCTTGGATTATCAGAATCAGAAGTTCATCTGAAGCAGAGACATCACTTTCAACAAAATGGAGATGTACAAAGACAAGGTCAGAACTTAGGACAGTCTGTCAGCTACTTCTGAATAATCCATATATGTGGGGACAGATGATCCCAGTGATTAGGAAGATGGAGAAAGAACAATTGCTCAACCATAAAAAACACTGAAAGTTCCTCAGTCACTTGCTACAGAAGTTAGAAGATTCAACAGAGTGAGACAACCCATATAAATGTATTCTCCTTCTTTGCACTATTTATTATTAACTGATAGTGGTGAATCAAGGTATTTTGAGGGTGCCACTCAAGTTGAAGATTCAAGGGAGTGAGAGCTCGCCATAGATGAAAAAATGCTATCTTTGGTGCAAATCAGATTTGGGATTTGACGATTCTACCAAATAACAAAAGTGAAAGTGGGTCTACAGGCTGAAAGAGAAGTCAGATGATAACAAACACTACAAGACAAAGCTTGTTGTGAAGGCTTTCTAGTAGGAAGGAGTGAATTACACAAAGATCTTTTTCTAGTGGTGAAGACGACGACTGTCAGAGTTGTGTTGAGTCTGGTAGCAGAAGATCTACTTCTGGAGCAGACGGATGCAAAAATAATTTTCTTACATGGAGATTTGGAGGAGTTATAATGGTGCAACCACTAGGTTACAAGGTTCTAGATAAGGAAGGTTTGATTTGCAAATTGAATAAAAGCCTTTATGGCTTAAAGTAGGCCCCGAGACAGTGGTACAAGAGGTTTGACATGTTTTTGCCGGACAATGGGTAAATGAAGTGTCAGACAGTCTGCTGTTGCTTCATCAAACACTTCAGTAATTGTTATATTTTGTTTCTTTTGTATATGGATGACATGCTAATTGCAGGGGCATATATAGAGAGAATTAGAGAATTAAAGAAACAATTATCACGTGAGTTTGAGATGAATGATTTAGGTTCAACCAGGAACATCTTTGAGATGAGAATCAACAGAGACATGACTGCAGGAACACTGAAGTTTTCTTAGGCAGAGTATGTTGAGACGATCCCACAAGGGTTCAACATGAGTGAGGCGAAACCAGTTAACAATTCCTTAGGTTGTCACTTCAAACTATCCAAGGAGCTATCACTAAACTCTGAAGCAAAGCAGATATAGATGGAGAGAACTCTGTATGGTTCAGCAATTGGAAGTTTGATGTATGTGATAATTTGTATCAAACCATATATTACATATGTAGTGAGTGATCAATAGGTACATAAACAATCCAGACATGTATCATTAAGAGACAATAAAGTGGTTTCTCAGACATTTGAGAGGAACACTTAACATGATACTTTGTTTTGAAAATGTAGGGACCAGTCTACAGAGCTTCATAGATTTCGATCTGACAGGGGATGTGGATAATAGAAGTATGACGAGATACATCTTTATATTGGAGAACAAAACAGTGAGTTGGGTTTACAGATTGCAGAAGATTGTTGCACTTTCAACTAGGAAGTCCGAATATGTTGCTATTACTGATGCTAGCAATGAAATGATTTGGTACAATATTTCATGGCAAAATTGAACAAGGAGCAGGGGATTGGAAAACTCTGCAATGACAAATTATTCTTGCTAAAAATGTTGTTTATCATGTCAGGGCAAAATACATCCAACTTAGGTACCATTTCATTCGATCTCTTCTAGAAGATGGACAGTTATTTCAGGAAAAGATACATACAACTGAAAATTCTGCAGATATGTTGACAAATGTGGTGGCTGTTGAGAAACCGAAGTTATGCTTTGTTTCAGTTGAGTTTCATGAATGTTGGACTGGGGATGAGCAACACCACAGTACTTGAT